GGGGGAGTGGGAGAGGGAGAAGCAGGCTTCCCGCTGAGTAGGGAGCCCGATGTGGGGCTCAATCCCAGAACCCTGGGATCATGACCTGAGCCGAAAGCAGACGCTTAACGACTGAGCCATCCAGGCGCCCCAAAAGTTTGGTAGTTTTTAAAAAATTGAACATTTATATACTGTGTGACCCAGCCATTCCAACCTAAGTATTTATCCCAAAGAAATGAAATGTTTATATAAATATGTCTATAAAATAAGTCATGAATAAATATACAAATATTCATAGCCAATTTCATTTTTGGGGGCAGAGGGTGAGGGAGTAAGAATCTTTTTTTAAAGATTTTATTTATTTGAGAGAAAGTAGATGCTGTATGATTCCACTTATATAAAATTATTTTAAAATGCAAAATAATCTATAGGGACAGAAAAAGCAGATTGGCAGTTGCCTAGAGATTGGGGTGGGGGGGTTGGGAAGGGTATGTGGGAAGAATTGTAACTAAGCGTAAGGAAACTTTTTGGGGTGACGGGTAAGTTCATTATGTTGATTGTGATGAGGTTTTCACAGGTGTTTATATATATCAAAACTTGTATACTTAAAAATATATACAGCTTATTATGTGTCAGTTATACCTCAATAAAGGTGTTAAAAGCAAACACCAGGTTACTGTTGTTAGTTGTGGGGAGTTGGAGCAGGAGTAAGTTTCTTTGGAGAATGAGAAAGTACAAATATTTAGCACTCCTTAAACATAGGAAAACACTTACTTGAATTAATTTCTTTTAACCTGATTTTGTTGTATTCTGAGAGAACAGAACGCAGTATACCCTTAATTGTTTGGAGTTTATTGGATTGTTGTATTATTCAAGCTTTTGTTCATTGTCCTCGGGTTTCTACTGGCCAACAAATCCACCTTCCAGAGCTGGAATTCAAACCAAACTATATTTCTTCATGTTAAAGCTATTTGATAAAAGTTTAGTTGAGAACAAATGAAAACTATTGACTGAAATTAGGTATCAATATTAGCTATAGATTTTTATTTTTCTTTCTATCCCAATCACTCAGTAGCACATGTGATTTATTTCTTAAAAGGCTTAATTAATTCTGATAGGAAAGTAAAAGAGACTAACAAAATTGGAGCATGTTATCCACAGAGTCAGGTGAAATTGTCATTTGAAATTAAAGTTACCTCAAACACAGTCAAAGATCATGAAAATAAAATGAGTTCAAAAAATGTAGCTTATCATTGAAGGTTAAAAAACAGTTGTAATCTGTAAACTTTGCATTGATGACCTACCTCTCTGGCTCGATAAAGCTGTGCTTGCTCGATCCTAGAGATGACATTCTGTACTGCAAATGGGATCTCCAGCTGAGGGACCCCTGATTTATAAAGGGCTTTTCTGGACATGATGGAATCCTCAACTTCTTTTTCTGATTCAGATTCGCCATCTATCCCACTTTGCATTTTGATAAATCCTTTGAAAAGTTGAGTGATTTTCTTTTAATTCTTCTTTTTTCACGGAATATAGGCAAATGCTAATAAAGGTGTCCACAAGGAAGCTAGAAGAGGTCTTTCTGCTCCCAGAGGTTGTGGTTTACCCTAATTTGTTGCTAACCATGGTATTCCAGTCCTGGTGATGTCATAGTAGATCCACTGTGACATCAGTGACTCAAACATCTCTAGAGTGCTTACTATATGCAGAGAACTAGGCATTCTATCTATATGCTGTGATGGTAGGGGGGAGGGAGGGTAGGAAATAGACAACAGGAACGCTAAAAGAAATAGAAGATATAGCCTTGCTTAAATAAGCTTATAATCTAGGTGTTAGAATTCAAGATCCAGTATATCAAATGTAACTCCTGATTCTTCTCTCTTCCTGAGGTTTTGCTTAAGAATTTTAAACCTGTAATTGACTAGTTGTGTTACAATGCCCTCAGCTGCCCCTCAACTTGTCCTAGACATGTAATAATTTGGAAACTATTATTTGGATGAAGATCACACTCTTTGCACTGCCTAGTTATTCATTTTTCCAAGGAACGTGACCAAAGAAGGTTTTGAAATTCCATAGCTGGCTGGAGAAATTGAAGGGAAAACTGGACGCTGCTTTGTTACTGAGAGGACTACTCTGGGCAGCTCCTTTGATTGCAGAGGAGTTGAAAGGATTTAAGACACTGGAGCAATTAAAGGATAGGGTAGTTTTGTTAGCTGTGTAGCTTTTTTATTTATTAAAAAATATGAAACGGTACAGAAAGTAATATAACAAATAGCCATGTGCCTATCACATAGAATGAACAAATATTAACATTTTGTCATATTTGCTTCAGAAATTTTTTTTTAAGATTTTAAAAAAATTTATTCATTTGAGAGAGAGAGAGCATGCGTGAAAGCATGAGCATGAGCAGAGGGAAGGGTCAGAGGGAGAGGGAGGAACAGACTCCCTACTGAGCAGGGAAGCCCCATGCAGGGCTCAATCCCAGGATCCCAAGATGATGACCTGAGCCGAAGGCAGCGGCTTAACTGACTGAGCCATCCAGGCGCCCCTGCTTCAGAAATTTTTAAATAAAATAAAGCATTAGAGATCCCTTTTGGTGTTCTCCCTAGACTCCTTCCTTCCCCTCTGTCCCTTTACAGAGACAATGACAGTCATGAATTTGATGTATTTATGTCTAGTCTCTGTTTATATAGTTTTACTACAGGTGCATGTATTCACAAACTACATAATATCATCTTTTAGGTTTTTGACTTTATACAACTTCCTATGTTGAGTTCTTATTGTAAACTTAGTCCTATGTTGAGTCCTTGCTAACTTGTGAAGTTAAACAATTTATGTATTTCAGTCCTTCAGAGAATGGGAGACAGGGGAACATAAAGTAGTTGCCTTTGAGAAATGAATCAATATAGAGAGAGCAAATTAAATATTCTCCCTTCTAATATCTCATTGTCTAAGTTAACCCCTCCTCTGTGTTCCCAAAACACTTTGTAAACTTCCTATTATAGTACTTATCTCACTGGAATGTAACTATTATTTGTCTCTGTCCATTAGTTGGTGAACTTCTCAAAACCAGAGGCTGTGTTTTAGGGGTTTTGTTTGTTTTAAACCTTTGACATATTCTTCCTCAGTTCCTCCTCAGAAATTTTCCAAAATTTGGATATTCATTATCGTTTCAGACTCAATTCCTATGGAAACTTAGTTCTAAGCCCCAGAATACTTTCTTTTATTGTTAATTGCGTCCCCTCACACCCAGTCATAAAAATTACTCCCTCCTTTTCTACAAATCACAATTAAGTCCATTCAAGGAAGTTAAAAATGTTTTCTGAAAGGATCGCAATTAAGAATTATTTTGGTAAATGTTAAGTTTGATTAAAATATCCATCATTATCCAGCATTTCTTGAACTTATCAATTAATCTGTTTAAGTACTTTTTTGATAATATTAGATTGTGAGATCCTTAAATAACTTTCATTTCTCTTGATTTTTTTTTACATTGCTTATCCCAGTAGGCATTCACAAAGCAGCCTGCATGCTTGTCAACTAAACTAATTTAGCATTATTGTGCTCTCTCCCTCTCTCATATTTTTTATGCAGCATGGGATTCATCAGCAACTGGAAATGAAGGCTTTTTTAAAGCAAAATTTAAAAGCTCCCTCCTTACCTTTCAATTTGGCAAGCATTTGTTGAGTGATACTACTACTATGTGGCCACCATTATCTTAGAATGTGAAGAATATACTATAGGGCACCAGTGAAGAAACTAAAAAACGAAAAAAAGAAAATAATTTAAGATAGACTATTCAAGTGCTAATAAGGGACATGAAGAAGAAATCTGTGGGGAGCAGTGTCTTTGGGAAAACCCTATGGAGAGAGAAAGTTGATTGACAAATGAAGGCATTCCAGATAGTGAAGACACCTTGAGCCATGGCTTTGGAGGTGAGTGTTGAGTTTTGTCTTTCAGGGGAAAGGTGAGGAGACTGGTTTAACTGAGATGAAGTAATGTTGAGTCTACTGTAGATCAGATTAGGGAGAGGATGGAACACAAATACCAGGAATTTGATGGAGAAATTAATTTGGTATTCAAGTAAACAAGTGAGTAGATTCATTAGAGATAAAGTAAGGGAGATTACATGGGATCAGAATGGTAAGGTCTTGAAAGCAAGTAACAGTTTGGTGAAAATGAAACCTTTAATTTAGAAAGATTTTTGAAATAATAGAATGGGAAAAATCAGTGGAAAAGATCAAGACATAATTATTTCAAAGGATAAGTGTCTGAACTAGGATATAGAACTGGGAGTGATAGGGAAGGATAAAGCTTACTAGGTATTGCTGAAGATAATAAGGAATTTGGATCATCTAACAGAAAAGTATAAAGACCATTTTTAAAATTTTGTTTTTATTGTACTTCATTTGAAGTGACAGTGACAGAACATCACCATATTAAGTAGCTTAGATGTGGGTACCTGATTTAAGCGAACACAGGGCAAAGTTCTTTAAAGGTGTTTTTAAGGGAAACCCGCACTTCTAGAGGGCTCCTTCAACTGTAAAATGGGGATAATATCTATTGCATGCGGTTTTTAAAAGATTAATTCTCATAAAATACTTAGAATAATGCCAGGCACATAGTAAGCATTCAATATACAGCAATTGCTATTAATATATTTACTGTAACTGCTACTCGCTTTTTTTCTTCTCTACTTTTCTTCTCCGAGCCGCCAAATTTTCGGAAGGATTGGGCGTCTGTCCAGTACACTTCACACAAGCTCGGCTTTTCATCAGATCTAGATTTTGAACTATGAAAACTGCGTAATTACAGCAGTGGTAGCCCGCCGTTTGGCGAGGGATAAAATGCGTCAATAAGATTTTTACACACCCCCGTGGTACAGAATGGTGCTTTCCTCTGATCGCTTCCCTCCTCCCCCCAGGACTGATGATAGTACCTCCCATGCTGCCGCTGGAAAAGGTAGCGCAAAAGTTGAGCGCGACGAGGGGTTTCTCTTCTCCCGGAAGCAATTGTTCTCTAGAACCGGAAGCAGTTGCTCTTTCAAGGGAGGTGGGACTGGGCGGGTCAGGCCGCAGCGGCTGACGGCGGGGGAGGAGCCGGGTCCACTGCCGGGTGGAGGGGCCAGGCGAGTGTCCTTATCCTAGCAATTGGGGCTCGGGCCTGTAAGCCCGTTGGAGTCGCGGCGGCGAGAACGATTGGGCTGAGCGGAGGAAGACATGTTGCTCTTCGTGGAGGTGAGTGGACTTGGTAATGTCGTCCTGCTGTGAGGAGAGCAGGAGTGGAGGCGCCGGCCGGTCCCACCACCATGTGACTTTCCAGGCCGTACACGCCGCGGAACCGGCAGATAGGCTGACACAGCACCTGGGCCGTGCAGGCCTGCGGCTCCACTCTGCGCTCTCACAACACTTTAAGAACCTGTGGGAAGTGAGGGCCGTAGTGGGGGAGAATTGAAGGTGGAGAATCCAGGCTTGTCTGGTGTGAGGTGCGAATCAGAGGAAGGGGAAAGTGTCCCATATGGACCTCCTAGAGGAGGCACACAGGCGGGG